GGTTGCCTCTAAATGGCATAAAAGTGCTTATATAATTAATGGCTTTAAATGAATAACAGAATGTTCACTTTGGTGGCTTCTCAAATTTCACATGTAGAAACACAATTTTATAAAGTAGAAAATGTCTCTTCTGAAATGTCAAAACTACATTTCCTTGTTAATAATTTTATTAGATGTCAAAAGAATTCAAAGAGCAAATATGCTAAGAATTAGGATAGAAACCACCCCAGTAAAAGGTCAAAGAGCTTGGCCAATTGATGGAGGTTATACTAATTTCATCAGTTTTCCATCACAAGATGGGTAATTTATTTTTATTTATTTATTGACAGAGTCTTACTCTGTCGCTCACGTTAAAGTACAGTGGTGTCATCATAGCTCACCGCAACCTCAAACTCTTGGGCTCAAGCGATACTCCTGCCTCAGCCTCCCAAGTCACTAGGACTACAGGTGCATGCCACCAAGCCCTGCTAATTTTTCTATTTTTAGTAGAGATGGGGTCTTGCTCTCGCTAGTCTCGAACTCCTGGCCTCAAGTCATTTCCCCAAAGGCGGGTAATTTTAATAAAACATTTTAGAAATCATGCCTTCCTTACAGTACTTCCAACAAACTCAAGAAAATGATCTCTTTTCCCAGTGTTACAGACATTATAAAATAAACATTATTCTTCTAAAGGCATTTATATTTCTCTAAACCCCCAAATGAACTATTCGTGTAGTACATAAACTTATTATAGTATACTTCACATTGTAAGACTTAAATACAGTACTAGTGAAGTACTTGACAAAGAGTACTCAATAAACGGTAATTATTTTTACCAGTAGATATACAACTTCCATGAATATTTTATGTCTTCATAATAAAAAAATGCTTTTAAAAATGCTTTTAATAGTCATATTTTCAAAATCCAGTCTTATTCACATATTTTTGTACTTAAGCCTTCTCCTATCATCGAGTTCTCGGTTTAAAGTTTTGGGTTTAGGAAATTTGACAAGTCAGGTTGAATGAAGAAATATTTAGCAAATATCTTCATCCTTTCATGTCATTGTGACAGTGGCTATGTAGAGTTAAATTGATAGAAATGATCCCAGCTCTCTGAGAACTCAAAATTTAGTTGACATGTTCAAATGCAAAATAACTACTTTTATGTACGGTGTCTTAAAATTTTAAATCAGCTGCAGCTGGGTCTTAGGAATGTTTTGCTTACTCTTAAATTTACTATTACAGAATAATTCTAGACAATTCAGAAAAAGAGCATTTGTTCTAAAATGCAGGGTTGTGAGGGCTCCTCTCCAGATCATCTCACCTAAGCTAGGCTAAGCCTCCACAGCATGAAAACCAATATTCCAACTTAGAAAAAAGTCCACTGAAGAAACTGCTATAAACATTTGTTTATTTCACAAACTTTTCTTGCTGTGATATGGATAAGTATCAAAATACCAGTTGTGACAATGATGTTCAGTTCCATGTCCCGATTAGACCCAGACTATTTTCTACTAGAAAAATACCATGAAATCAGTGTCTCACAAAAGAAAAATTTCCCAGGTGAATTATGTTGTGCAAAATTATGTATGTAAAAGGCTTAATCTACTCATTAAGAGTATTTATTTTTATAGAACTAAACAAAAACAGTGGAAGGTTAAAAAATGTTTTCTAGTAAAACAGGTATTTCATTAGAGAATAATAAATGATATCAAAAGTCCTGAGGAATGGCCATATAACTGACTCTACAATTAGAGGATAGCAGTCCCAGGTGAATGCCACAGATGGCACAGCAAGGGGACTAATGCTGAAGGCAAAGACACTTGTTGCATTTCACTGCCAACACTAGGTCCACTTGTTCTTCCCAAGGTCACATGAATCTTCCATTCAAAGTTTATCATTCTTTTCAAACAATGCATTATCACCTACAATTTTACGTATTAAGAGGGAGAAGAGAGAGCAGTGAGTTGTATGTTAGGTAAGGCTAAATTAGAAATGCCTTTCCCTCCTTCCCCCAAATTTAACACATTAACTTATTGGATGCTGTTGTTTGCTGATACCAAATTGCTATTCCTAAAGTGAATATAGTTTTGCTTGCTATTACAGTGGTGATCTATTTTTCTTCCTTCCCATTATGTGTGCGTGTGTGTGTGTCTGTGTGTATGTTTGTTTTAATTTAACTTTATACTATGGAAAATTTCAAACCTATATCACACAGCTTCAATAATATTTTGCTATTCTTGTTTTATCCATTGCCTCCAACTTTCTTAATTTTTGGTAGAGTATTTTAAATAAAATCTCAGATATCACTTTGGTATGAAGTCACTAGCAAATAAGGACTAGTTCTTAAAACCACAAGACCTTTATT